GGTCTGACAGAAGAGTCCTGGCTCCTGTTCCAGTGTGTACCTGCCACTTGTGCTTTGGTCCATCTCCTCCCTTCCCGGGAGCTTCTGCGCCCAGCCCCTCATTGTTCTTTCTAATGGCTTAATGCCTGATCCTAGTAACATGTTTAAATTAAGATTTATAGCAACCAAAAACAGAACCTAGGTATTCTCTCCCTTACTACAGACTGCCCATTCCCTTCCAAAGAATAGCCCATGCTTGCTGCCTCCGCTTTTTCACATCTTACCACACCAGGGAAGATTTGTTGACATAGTATCAGCTGTCCTGTTGAATGTCCACATTCTGCATTTGGCTGATTGCTTCTTCACAGTGTTTTCAATTTATCTTTCTGGTCACGGTTTTTCCTGTAAACTGGAAGTTTGTTCTAATGGCTTAATTAGATTCAGGTTCAACATTTTTGGCAACATAGTTTTTGTAAAACATGGCATTTTTTGTTGTCATGTTACAAGAAGGGCTGTGAGGCTTGAATTTACCTGAGCCCTTTAGAGTGGGGTAAAACCATATTGGCAGGTGTCTAACTAAAACTTTATCTAATGCATTCTGATCCACTCTTACCAGGCTTCTGCCCTCAAGCAAACATTCAAATGGAAGCTTCCTTGCAAAAATACCACTAACAACCTTTTAACCACCAACTCAAATTTCTGTGATGTGACCTGGTTGGCCATATCCTGAAAGTGACACAGGGAAGATGTGTTACTGAGTTGATTACTACTGTGGGAGACTGGGGTTCAGCCCAGAAGGCGACCATCTAAAGATCCATATAGAATACATTTCAGAATTGTCCCTTTCTTAAAATTGGGATGCTGAAGCATGTATCTAATTTCCATCCTTCATTGCTTTAGAACTGCCCTGGGGTCATTAACCTCTCTTTGACTCCTGTGTCATGGTTCCTGGTTAGTAATAGTGAGAGCTGTTGGAGTGTGGGATGCGTGAGAGAGCTAAGGTGCTAGGTACCCAAGGAGAGGGCACTGGAAAAGAGCTTAGGCATTAGGGAGAGAATCCTGACCCTCTGGAGGCTTAATTTCTGCCATTTCTAGGAATACTTGGACTGAGATAGGACTTAGGGCAAGGATTAAGTAGTGTTCATGTGTGTATGTAGGTGTGTGTTCAAGGCACTCAGGTGCATTTGTTTGTGAAAAATCATTATTCAGCATTATAGGAATTTAACTTCCACTATAGTGGATGGAGGATTAGGGATGCTAGAAATGAACTTCATAACAATAAAGCCTGCACTTTGTTGTGAATTGAACACAGGAAATGTGGACATGTCTATTGAAACATAATAGTTCATTAATCTGTTTAGCAACAGAAGCCCCCTGAGTCTCAGCAGGGCACAAAGCTACCCATCTAACGTCAATATTTCCCAGTCGGCCTTGTACCTGGATGCGGTGATATGATTAAGACCTCTCCAGTGAAGAAAAGGCAAAAGTGATATAAAAGTCCTTTAAAAAGGAATTTTTTGCCCTCCATTTCCTTTCTTTCTGCTTTCCTGCAGCTCTAGCGAGTGCGCTTAGCCCCAGAGGGTTAACTCAATAGGAGTTGGAGGGAAAGTGATGCAGGAACTAGCCTAGGCTCACAAAGAAGCTTAACGGGCAGAACCACCCTGCCAGCCCTTGACAACTCACTTCTGAACTGAATGGACAGAAGCAGGTTTTTATCTTTCATTTTAGGTCCTCTTTGGTACACAAGTTTGACCTATACATTAGCACAATATCTTAACAAGAAACTTGGGAAATAGCCTATAGTCCTTCCCTTCTCATACACCTTCCAGCTCCCTCATCCCAAAAATACAATTATAAGTCCAGCGGAATCTCTGTAACTTCTCTTATGTTGGTTCTTCCTCATCAGGCCCATAGCTATGGCCCCTGTGGAGGACCATGTCGTCTCACTGCCCATACTACAACAGCAGTCCTCTGATCTTGCACCCACAGCCTCGCACTATCGATATACTCAGAAGTCTCAATAAAACAAATTCGTGTGAAGTCCCTATTTAAAAATTCTCAATGAATCTGCACTGTATGCTAAACAAGTCAACTCCCTGGCATGCCATACAAAGCCTCAAGATCTGATGTTTACCAACATTACTAACTTGTTTCCCATCTCCAGCTTCCCCTCATATCCCTAAAATCAGGTCAAAACAAAATGCATGCTGTAACCTGAACAGTCCCAACTTGAAGTCTGACACAGTAGGAACTATTACCCTTCATTGTCATTATTTCCTTATCTGTCTTCCTCAACATTCCCATCCCCACGTTCATGTATTATAGGTGGCCTGATTTGTATATGCAGAGTCTAAGTCCTCCCCAAATTACCTGCCAGAGATACCTGAAAATACTGCTTTTTCCTCTGGGATTTCTAAGCTGGTAGGATGTGGGTCTTCGGAGGACTGGTAATCATTTTGGCTGCCATGTGATAAAATCTGGCCTGATGGCATGGTAGAGATTGAATATAACCTTATAGCCTTTCTCCACCATTTTACAAGAAGGAACCCCTGAATTTTAACTAGATATATGTTGACCCAGAATAACAACTACCCCTTCTAGGCACCCTTGCAGTTAGGTGTAACATCTGGACAATGTCATATGACTTGCAAGTGATGTACACAACTTCCCTTACCAGAAAGGCTCAAGGCCTCCCCTTTCCCCTCCTCTCTTCCTAACGGCTGGAGTATGGACATGAAGGTGAACCAGCGTGGACCATGTGGATCACGACAATATCCTAACATAGAAGAAAAGAAAAAGAGGAAATCCTGGGTCTCAAGGGACTTTTTAGATCAGAGCCAACATAACAGACTGGATTTTTATAAGAGAAACTTCTATCTTAATAAAACTATAGGATTTCTATGCACATAACCACACCTAGATTCTAACTAATGTATAAGGTAAGAAGAAAACACTGCCCCATGACATCTCCTGTATACAAAGAAAGCCATTAAAATTTGCAATCACAATATAAGTTGGTCATGATTCTGTGACATCTATGTTAATAGACAATAACCACATTAGAGGGGGCGAGGATTTAAAATTATGGGATACTGTTGAACCACTGTCGTATATTTGAAACCAATGTTAAGATTGTATATCAATGACATTTCAATAAAAAAAATTCTAGGAAATACACTCAATGTAGGATCAGTGGTTTCCCAGAGAATGGAAAAGAGAGGAGGAATAAGGGAGAGGTTACCAAGGGGCACAATGAAACTTTTGGGAAAATGGATACATTCATTATCTTGATTTTGGTAATGGTTTCCTATTCTTTTTCAATAAAGCTGTTAAAAGATGAAAAAAAAAAGCTGTTAGGACAAGACTCTGATCAGACTGTACGTTGACATGAGAGCTATTGCTATTTGCTAGTTTCCCCAGAATTAAAGAATAGCTTGTCCGTCCAAAAAATATTCCTGATTAAGATATGCTGGTTCCAAGCAGGTACAATTGGTCTGGAGGTGAAAATACAAAAGGCTGATTTCACTGGAGAGGTGACTGCCCACCCAGTAGCATAGTTTCTGAGAAAATATGTCTCAAAAATGAAAGAAGTGGCATGCAACCACATCTGTTCCCTACACTCCCAGTGTCTTGTTTAGTGTACAAGGTTAAAGAAGTGAGGAATGAATAGGAGCTGATGGAATAGATCTAGGTGCAAAATGGCCCAGAGTCAAGGAGAGGGCACAAAACCTACTGTCTATGTGGTACTCTAACACTTGGCAGCCTCTGTGAACTCTTTCTTCATTAGAAAAAACTTTGCATCTCAGTGGCTCTAAAATAGCTCAGTGGCTCCAAAAATAGCTTATCAATTCTTTTAGAATTGCTAGTTATATATTCTATAAATAATTTTGCCTAATTCTTTTCTGCTTTATCTTGTTTGCTATACTGAATATTCTTTTGAAGTTAGTTCTACTGATGAAAAGGTGCTGAGGTTTTTAAGATATGGGTGAGAGCTGATGAAAAGATATAGGCAAAATAAAATAGCTAAAAAGCAGGCAGCATAAAATGATTCCAAGAGTTGAAATCTGAAGCAGACTGTAGATGTCTACATTCTGGTTATCACATTAAGATTTCAAAGACAAACTACCTTTTTTAAAGTTTAGGGGGCTGACATAGGGTTGCAAACTCTGTGCATTTCCAATTTATGAACATCTAAAACAAATTCATTTAAGTAATTTTAGTTAACAACTCATTGTGTTTTACATTTTTTCATTTCACTACAAAATGGTAAAAATAACATTAGGCAAAGCACTGTTTCCTAGTTAATGAGCAGTGAGTAGCATATTGATTATATTTTAGATAGATTGTTTATGGGTAGATGACCTCTTCCAACCAACTATTGCTCATTATAAAACAACTCTTGCTACTTAGATATATGTCTAATAAACAGATGTCTGCAGTTTCAAACACCTGGAACCTCTATTTTGCTTTGTATTTCTAACAGGCTTCCTAAACAATAACATCACATATAACACTTCAAGTTTCAAAGAAGCCTTCAGATACATTAGCTCAGTTGACTCATTTCTTTAAATCACTTACATTTAGTTACTTTTCTCATGTTAATCATCGTGAAGAAATTTGAATTTCAGAAATGCCAACTTTGCCTTTGTTATGAATTGCCCATTACTATTCACATCCCTTTCAGATAGTAAATGTATATTATTTCTTTAGCACTATTTTAGGAATGACATAACAATGTTTGTCTCCCTTTACAAAAATATATGAGCCATATGTCTTATGAAAATGCAAATTCCTTTTTGTAGAAGTGTGCTTGGGACTTTGTCACAAGTGTTCTTACCCTGAGTCTGTAGATGACCTTCAGAAATGTCCTAACATCCTTGAATTTATGAAAATATGAACATGTACATTTTTCTGAAGAATGGGTCAAAAGCTTTCATCAGATTCTCAACAGGATCCAGGTACAAAACAGAAAAAACATTACCAGAGGAGATAGAAGGGAACTACAATTAAAATTTAATCCTATACCCAAATTAAATAAACTGCTTGCTAAATTCATTTTATCCTTTATATATTCTTAACGACATTATATTGAGCATATGTTAAAAGATGTACCAGTTAACTGAGACAAAGGTGCTTTCCTGTCAAGAAGGGATTTCAACACTGATAGTTGTGTCACTCACTAAAAAAGCAAGGGTTCTACACATTTATCAGAAACACTAAATTAAGAGATTAGAAGGCCTGGGTTCTACTGCCAGTTTTATTTGTAACTAACCATGTATAAATTACTTACCTATATAAAATAATGGTTAGTCTATTACCTAATTCACAACTACATCACAAAATCAAAATCTTTCCCAAGAAAACCTTGTTGTAAACCAAGATATTACTATTAGCTTATACTTAACTCAGAGGTTGAGAACGACAATTTGTCTTTTATCAATTGATTGCATACCTGAATTCTTAATTCTGTAAATGGATAATCTGGTTGTGATCAGTAGTGTCTTATTTCAACCTTACAAAACAAAAAGCTACTAGCAGGAAGTTACTGGTAAAGAAAAGTTGGCCAAAAAAGAACACTATTAAGAAATAGCTTTCTATGTTAAGAGCTGTGCTTATAACATTCCCGACCATCAAATGGAACAAAAGCTAGACTTAGGCCACTAAAGCCTGTCTGTTACTTTTAAGGAACACATATTGCTAGGGGAACAGCACACTCCTCAGTAATCTGCCAGGATGTAAGAAATGTCAGCATTTTGTCACTAGAGAATAAACACAGAAGAGGAATTAGCATGTTACTGAACAAAGACTCAAGATCATTCTAAGGGGTATAGAAAAATTTATACACTTGTATGTATTTTATCATGTGTATGTATTGTGACAATCATATATAGTAAGAGATCCTCGAAAAGTAAGCACCTATATCTTCTTGTATTTAACAGTATCAATTTGTGTGATTTAGTCTCTATTTCTGGACTTTTCCTTACACTACGGTGATACAAAAACAAAGAACAAAGACTGGAATAAAGGTCGCAGAAAAATACCCTAATAAAATAACCATGTATACCACTGCTTAGGGAAATATTTTTAAGGAATCATACTTTCATACTGGCCCCAAATGCCATCATCCATTTATGTCTTTAACTGTTCAACTTTTAATATAAAAATACCTTGAAGCTGATAATCATTTACAGTGACTTACAAAACTGACAGAATATTTCAATGCTACACAAAACAGTTCTATACACAGCTTAAAGTTTTAAAGTTCTCTTCTGGCACTTGATTTTATAGTCAACAGACACAATAACTACTGACCTCAATAAAATACTGTTTTTAGCTTATACATATTTTTAAAACCAAAATTACCTCACCAAAACAGTAAAGAATAAAGCACTTCCTGCTGAAGAATCCTTTAAGACAAACACCAAAACTATACACCCAAAATATTTTAAGAAAAGCATATAAACTTTTTAAGACAAGGCATGACCAATGCATAAAAATTTACATCACCTCATATGTCCAGTAAAAAAAGGATTGTTCCGCTGATTCAATGAAGCATGTATCAGGTACAGGTGAAAAATATTAACTTACAAAGCAAGTTATCTTGTTTTTTTTTTTCTTTTTTGGTTTAGAAGGGTGCTTAAATAACTGGTGACAGTACTACAATGGATGATTTTTAAGATAGAAAAATGGTCAGATTTAGCAAATACACATTTTATATTCTAAAAATTAAAAGTTTCTTTTAAAACAGTGGAATCCTGCTTTTTTTAACTTTCTGAGAGCTCTTAAGAACCATTCTGCATATTATCAAAATGAAATCACTATTCAGTAACACATATATATACATATCCAGTTTTTTTCCTTTGCAGAAGGGAAGAAAACCAAATTTTAACAAACTATATACATTTAAAATACTAAAAACTGACTAGCTTATACTTTGGGAAATCTACTACTTTCATTATTCTGAAGGAAAATATAAACCTTCAAAACCCTACCAACAATTTCTAATACAATTTTGTATTATAAAAATTAAAAAGTTAAGTTCCTTCTGGCACTAAATAAAATAAAAAAGTTAACAGATTAAATTTGACCATCAAAATATTAAGTGTAACTAATCAAAACAATTCACTGGTGCAATACTTGAACAATGAAAAAAAAACACCAAACATTCTAATCAATTCTATGATAAATTTTTTCATATGTTAATCTTGACTTTAAGCAGAGTAAATTACATAGGTTGATTCCTAGACTGTTTAAATTTTATAGCATTACAGTAGTAATTCAAATGTTACCCTTTCTAAGACAAATCTACAGTCTTAAGCAACTTTTGCTTTTTTCAGGAAAAGGGAAGAATATCTTTTTTAATATACATTCCACAGCAATAGAAACATCTTAGTGTTTCAAAATATTTATAAAGAACCCTGCTGATCCTGTGCATTTCGCTGAGGTGCTACCTGCACCCAGACTTCATCATCAGAAAAAGAACTCGAACTCCCTGACTCAGAGTCCAGCTCACTGAATCCATCTAAATCCCATTCAGTACTAGACTCACTCCGTGCATCATCTTCCTCAGTGATGAAACTCTGGCCAGGTTCAAGGCAGGAAGGGTAAACACGAGCACAAAGGCATATAAAGCCAGAATCAAACTGCAAAAGGCCTAACATGGTACCTATATTGATCCACTGGTCTTCCCTAGTATCATATTCATACACGGTTACCCGGTTTTTTTTCCACTGTGGGGTGGTAGAAGTGATGAGGAGCAACTTTCGGCCATGATTGACAATCTGGTAGTTGTGGGTCTCTGAATCCAAAGGAATATTACTAATCCTCCTCCACTCTCCCCTGGCTGGGTTATAGACCTTCATGACTGGGATGTCACAGATACAATAGATCTCATCGTTGAAGACACAGGCTTCCTGAAAGTCACTACGTTTAAGAGAAGCACAGTTCAACCACATATTGTGGCTAGGATCATAGCAGAGCATGCGCTTACTGTTCACAGCATAAAGATAGTTCTGAACCACTATTAGTTCAAAGGAATAGAAAGAATGGGGTACAGGAGCCACCAGTGCCCACTGGTTCCTCTGAATGCTGTAGCATTCCACTTCCTTCAATTTCACTCCAGTAATAGGGTCTCGCCCACCCAAAATGTAAATGTAGCCATTGAGGTATGCCACATCCATGCCCTCACGGCAGAACAAGCGATCTGCAAGCTGCTGCCAACTATTCTGGGCTGGTTTATACACCCAGAGGTCTTTCCTGGGCTGGGCAGCTAGATAGATGTCATGGTCTGGAGAGAGACAGACAGCTGAGGAAGTGATAGCCTTCGTGTGAGCCAAGCTGGTCAAAGGTGATGGCATTGTGTAGATGTCGCCTGAGTATGGGTCATAGCAGAGAAAGGGATCTCTGGGATGCCCAAAGAAGATCACCATCTCCTTGGCACACATACCCAGCCTCTGGGGCGGGTTTTCTGCTGCAGGAACAACAGAGCCGCTGCTGCTCTCTGGCTTTGGCGCCGGAGACTTGTGTAACATGTCACCATATCGCATTTGCAGGACACCCTCAATAAGGTCCAGGCAGTGTTTCTTCACAATGGGCTTGGTCAGCAGCCCTTCCAGGTAATCTCGATCTTCATCAGTGAAGTGTGCCCAGCGGACACACTTGAAGACTTCTGTTGCACTGGGACCCCGCTCCTTGGGGGTCGCCTCCAACCACTGCACAGCCACGTGACACACTGTCCGCTCGCTCTCGATATCGAGACTATCCAGGCGCAAGACTGCCAGCAGCTGGGCCAGGGTCAGATCTGCCAGAGTCTCCTCCCGAACTGAACCCATGCGGCTGAGCTGCTTGAAGTTGTGGGCTATAAAGGACTGAGCCTGTGACCGCAGCTTGTGGTGGTCGAAGGCGTCAGCGAACTTGAGGATAGCAGTGCAGTTGGCCAGATCAAGGCGGCGGGCTAGGAAGGAGGCACAGGCTTCCCGCACGTACTCTAGCTGTAGCATGTCCGAGGCCGCGTAAAGGCGCTGGACATTGGCTTCACTTAGCGATACGCGACCCGTGTAGCAGTAGTCGACCAACACCTCGAAGGACTCGGCATCCACGTCGTGCATGGTCACGCTCGCCTGCTGGCTCTCGTACATGCCGCCGGTGAACATGCTCTTGAAGTAGGGACACGCGGCAGCCAGCACATTACGGTTGCAGGAAAAAAGGCGGCCGGTGCCAGGCCCGCTGCCAGGTGTCACGACCTCGATGGTCACATCGCAAAGCAGCCGCGCGTCGTAGAAGGACTTAAGCTGTGCCAGCAAAGCTGCAGAATGGGCCGTGTCCTTCAGCTCCTCCGGGCCCGTGAAAAAAGCCGAAACCGAAGGCTTGGAAATCCTTTTGGGACGCCTCCCTCCACGGGGACTGGCGAGGCGGCGAGAGCGCGGAGCTTCTTCCCGGGACTGCATGGTGGCGATGGCGGCGGGCTGTTAGAGGCGAGAACGGGGCCAGGACCCGGCTCTGGCTCCTCCTCACCCTCCTCTCGCTGGCGCTAAGATCGCGGCGTCCCTAAATAGACAGCAGCAGGGGCCGCACTCAGCTCTACGCCGCAGTGCTGCCTCCCTTTATCGCGTAGGCAGGGTCTGACTCACCCTTTTCTAGTTCCGCGCCCTTTCTCCGCCTCAGCTCTCCCCCACAGGACCCACTGGTTGGAACCGAGAGATCCGCCGCTGCCGCGCTGGCAAAACCGGTAGGCGTCCAGCAGAACTGCGGCTCCCAGGCTGCCTTTCGCGCCTCGCGGCATGCCGTGCCCTCCAGACGCATGGACGTAGGCTGACGTACAGAAGCCGCTCTGCATTTTGGGAGTAGTAGTTTGAGAATACCGCGCGGTTTCTTGGGGAGGACGGCTTTAGTTTACAGTTAGCGTTATTTCTCGATTTGACGGCTTAGAGCATTGGCCTCAAAGTCCAGTGTAAAACCTCGTTTTAGTATTTATGTTAATTAGTTGTGTAATTTCTCTCAGAACTTTTCCTTCATTGTCAAATGGGGATAATACTATTTTATAGGATTGTGTGAGGATAGAATGAGATAAATTGCAAAGGACAATTCAATAAATATTTGTTGATTAGAGCAATAAGCTCTTATACCGTGCCTAGCATATAGATTCAGTCATTCATTGTTACCTTTTCTTTTGGAGTTTATAAAAACTGAGGCACCCACTAATGTGACACTGTGCACAATTTCTTCAAGGAAAACGTCTCGAGTTTAATGCTTCTTTTGAAAGGTTCTCAAGGGTATCACAATATTTTCTGTGCTAATCGATATCCATAGGTTCATCAGGATGTCTTAGACAAAGATGAGGTTCTAGAGAGCAGCATTAAAGGATGGCCTCAAATATCCAAATCAGGCATACAGGTTAGACAGGTTGGTGTCTCATCAAATCAACACTCATCTCCTGGGGAGCAAGATTGTTTTCATAACCTCCAAATATGAGTGTTTTCAATTCATCTTATGCTCCTTTCACTTCCTTTCCACGAATCAGTCGAAGATTCTGAATTGTCTTTATTAAGGAGTTTTATAGAGTTTTAAATTAAAATGTTTAAACAGAACTTGTACTGTACAAAAACATTCAGTCTTCAGAGCTGGGCATTCATACATTCCTTGCATTAATGTAGTGCAGTCTGTGCTTTACAAAAGTTTTATAGATACATCAATCGATATTGTTGGTTAAATTGTCAAAGTCAAGTGCTTACATATTTTTTTGTTGTTTATTTTAGAGAACTTTTATTTAAAAATCAGACTGCTCCTGCTGCTAGCTTGCCGTGTGTTACCATACCTAATGAATGAAATCCTTAGTTTTACATGAATAGGACAATAACACATAGAAGGAGAATAGCTAAATTGCTTTTTCTTTTTCCCTATTAGCTGAAGAACGACTACTGGAAATACTCCAGGACAGCACATTAAACTAAGTGGGGCTCTGGACAACAGTATATCTCATCTGTACCTCTCTTGAGCATTCCTCAGATTCACCAGAGAAAATTAAATGGTAGCACTGGTTACTTTCCCACCTGCACTAAAACAGTTTGGGGGAAAAGCAATTAAACTTTTTTATAGCGTAAAATATATATAACACAAAAGTTACCATTTTAACAATTTTTAAGCATTAATTTTTTGGCATTAAGTACATACACTCTCATAGTTTTGCAACCATCACTACTCTCTATCTCTAGAAGTCTTTGCAGCTTGCAGAACTGAAACTTTGTACCCATTCTCAATAACTTTTCTTCCTTTGCCAGCCCCCACTTCCTCTCTCTTTGAATTTAACTACTCTAGGAACTTCATGTAAATCCAATGGATGATTCTTTAGCTTCTTTATATCTGTCCTTACTTTGTTATTTGGTTAAGAGTACCTTTCACAGGAACCAAAATATTTAGTAGACACTGCCCTAAGATCTGTCACAGAAATTTCTGTGATGTTGCAAGTATTTTATATCTGCACTGACTGATACGGTAGTCAGAAACCACGTGTAGCTCTTGAGGACTTGAAATGTGGCTGATGTACCAAAGAACTGAATTTTAAACTTTTATAGCATTGATATCAATGCAATTCAATGGGGAAAGGGAAATCTGTTCAAAAGGGGTGTTGGAACAACTGGTTCACAATGTGAAAGAAAAAAATTAATTTGTAATGTATCTTAATATTAAATAGAGAAATAAAAAGTATAAAGTGTCTAAAAGAAAACAGAAGGCTATTCTTTGAGATTTTTGAGGTAGGCAAAGATTTCTTAGGACACAAAAAATAAATCATAAAAAAATTTATTAAAATGAACTTCCACAGAATTACAAGATTTTGCCTATAAAAAAAGGAGTGAAAGAATAAAAAGGGATGTCACTGTGAAAACAATCCTATTTTTTGGTAATACATATGCCCAATGTCCAAGCCATATGAAAAGCTACTCCAGTGCAAATTAAATTCACAGTGAGAAAACACTGCACACCTACAAGAATGGTTAGTCTTAAAAAGGTCAACAATACTAAACATCAGGGAGGCTTTGGAACCCGCATATATTAATAATAGAAATATAAATTGGTATATCCATTTTAGAAAAACTGACAGTTTCTGTGAATGCTGTGACTAGTAATTTCACTCCTAAGCATTTGTGCAAGGGAAATTAAAACATATGTCTACAAAAAGACTCGTACAAGAATGTTCATAGTAACTTTGTCCATAAAAGCCAGTAGGAGAATGAAAAACATTAATTGTAGTGTATTCATACAGTACTCCTCAGAAGTAAAAAAGATATAAGCTTTGATGTGCCACAATGTTTCAAAAATTTTATGTTGACAAAAGCCAGATGTATGAGAACATATATTGTAGAATAATTTCTGTGAAGCTCCAGAAGAGTGAAAATAAGCTATAGTGAATAATTACAATAGACGTACTTATTGTTGGAGAAGAAGGGGTTGACAGATTCCTGGGTCAACTGGAAAGGAACACAGGAAATTTCAGGAGTGATAGAAATGTTCTCTTCTTGATTGGGCTGGTGGGTACATGGGTATATGCAATTGCCAAACTCAACAAGCCATTTCTTAAGATTTTTGCATTTAATTTATTACAAATTATTTCTCATCTTATGAGGAGCCCCTTCATAACTGCTGGCACTAAATAAAAGTTGCAGGACATTGTGAAAGTAGTTCAGTCATTATGTAAGACTCTCCTCATCTAGAGGCATATTGGCCAACATCACTTCAGTTCTCAGTAGACGAGCCACTCCATACACTTGGAACTCACGACAGTCTTTGCTACCTCAGGGCAATATGAGGATTCCAGCACACCGGGGCCTTTTGAATTTGTAGAGTAGCTGAGTGCCCAACAGTACATCCCAGTATTCTTTTATTCCTGCCACAACTTCATTGACAGCATATGCATTTTCTGTGTTTCCTCAAGATTTCTGTAATTTGTATAACCCATACTCTTCTCCACAGGAAGAAAAAAGAACTTTTTTTGCCTGGTGATGAAGCCATCAACAAGCCATGATTTTAGTTCTTCAGGAATCTTTGACTTCAACTCTGTTCGTGAATGTTTCCAGCAGTGGGATCTACTCAGGCCCTATTCTGAGGATAGGGAATCACACTGGTACTGCCACCATTTCCATTTCTGGGTGACTTCAACATTTTCTCTTGCAGATCGGACACCTTCTTCCCTGGGGCAGCACCTCACTTCTTACCCTCTGCTTGCTGCTCCTGATTAGCATTTGTTCTGTTTCTGTAGACTTCTTTCTATGTATCTGAGTCCTCTGCTTTCTAGAACCCATTCATTCCATTTTTTTATTCCAACCACTGTAATGTATGACATATTTCACTTGTTTGTCCTTTATAGCAAACTTCACATACATTGCTTCATGAAGAAGTCCATGAAAGCACATCACCCATTCATGTTCCTGGAATCTAGGCTTCAGCATCATTTATAAGTGATTCTCCACTGCCTCTTCCTCCCGGCTAACTCACGTCCTGCATGCACTCAGGGGCCTCCAGCTTGTCATGCTGGGTCATACCTGTATTGTTTTTTTACTCTGGTTTTTCAAAAGAGTTTACAAACTGTTCACTCCTTTATTTCTATATCCAAAATAACTCATACTGCCGTTAGTGGTTGGCAATCACCAGTTTCTAAGCGTCCTCTCTCCCTCAATTGCAGAGTGCCTAGTGAGTGAGCTGCCTCATGCGTTACTTCTGTTCCACACTGTTTTGTGGCAGCTAACAGGTGTTTCAAACCTGTCACATATATTTTTAATTATTAAAAAACTTTGAAATATAGCACACATACAGAATGAAAGGACAAATCAAAATTGCATATGCAATGAATTAGCACCAAATGAATACCCCTATGTTGCCTAAACCGTGGTCAAGAAATAGAACATTACCAGTGACCCAGAAACACTACCCACCACATGTACTCCTGTTGCAAGCCACTCACTTGGATGAAATGGGAATAAACAAAAAACACAGACAACAAAGACAGACAATAGCTGCAGCAGCCCCGATGTGGTACAGCTCCTTTATTTTTATACTGCCTTTCTCGGACCTCAGTCAAATGCTATACGTATCTTTCCCTACTCTGGGGGGACAGGCCAGAACATTCTGTTGACTCCTTAGAATCTGCCCAGTAAGCAGGGACTGTGTTTTCACACGTCCCTAAGGTCTCCCTATCTGCAGCGTAAGGCATCTTGGCTCGTTTTCGAGGACAAGATATGCTTTTGTGGGCAGATAACTTTCAAGTACCGCACCAGTTGTTTTCAAGCTGGTGCTTCCCCATGCTGCGTTCAGACATGGGGGAAAACAAGGGCCGTCCCTTTCAACTCCTAATCCGTATTGCCCCCAACATGAGGGTCTTATGCTTTTTCAAAATTTTGGTATCAATAATATATAATTATATGAGCAACATTGTGGTTACTAGATTCCCACCACTATAAAGTTCCCACCACATACCCCATTACAGTCACTGTCTATCAGCATATTAAGATGCTATAGTCACTACATGTCTTCTCTGTGCTATACTGCCTTCCCCATGCCACCCCCTAATTATATGTGCTAATCGTAATGCCCCTTATTCCCCTTCTCCCTCCTTCCCACTACCCACCTCCCCAGTCCCTTTCCGTTTGGCAACTGTTAGTCCATTCTTGGGTTCTGTGAGTCTGCTGCTGTTTTGTTTCTTCAGTTTTTTGTTCTTATGCTCCACAGATGAGTGAAATAATTTGATATTTGTCATTCTCTACC